AAAGGTATTCTGGTAATTGTTCATCATCAAAAATATTTTATTATTATTTTATTCTTGCGTCCTTATCAGATCTGCCCCTATTCCATATATTCATTTCCCAAATTTTTGCTTTAAAATGATTTATAAAATAAAAATAAAAAATCTGAACCATCTGATCTGTTAAAAGCCAATGTGACTAAAGCCATCGTAACTATCTACTTAGGTCTATGGCTGAGACTATATACTATATATATATATATATATATATATGAGTAGGGTCACATAAAAAGCCTTCCAAGAAAAAAAATGTCATATCTAAAACTAGTTAATTGTGTCCAAAAGTTTCTAACAGGAAATTCATGAAAAAAATAAAATACACTTTCCACAATGTAACCCATCTCAACTATTCCAACAATTTAACAATTTATCCCATCTCCACTAGTCCGGTCAGTGTGTATTTAGATGAATATTATGAAATCAGATCAAAAGACGGGTAAAATGTTGAATAGCTGATCTCGTGTATTTTGGCAAAATTCTTCTTCTTTTAATGGTAAATGTACACCATACAATGATTTTCATAATGGCGCCAACGAGTGGTCACAACGAAGGTTTAAAAACACCAATCCGGATCAAAACTGGCCGATCTAGATAGAAAATCGTTGGGAGCAAACCAATTCCCACTTAATATAACGAACTGGCCGGTTCCTTAATATTTCATGATGAAGCTTGCTCAGAAACTATCATATATGTTTGCTACCGGACAAAAAGTATGAAATGGGCCATCCAAGTATCAAATTTTGAACTGAAGTGCTAAAAAGCCAATAAGACAATTTGGCATTTAGTATCATGTGATCAAGAGCACAATCATCACTGACAGGGTGAAGGAAACGAGTATAGGCTGCTGAGGACTGTACAGTCTAAAACTAACATGAAATATGTATTAAATAAATTCAATGAAGGGTTATTTACAAAAAATCAAAAGGGGTATATGCTTTCCAGTAAGCTGCATTTCCTGATCCTGATGTCCGTGCTGCGTTGATCTTTCGAGACCACGACATCGCAGCACTGTCTTCTTGCTGCCTGCTCAAGAAAGCCAAAGAACAGTTAGCAACAAAGGTCAAGAATAGAAGAAAAATAAAAACAAAGCATCACACCAATATCCCTCGAGAGTTTCAGTAAAGTTTTGGATTTTCTTTAGAGTGTGAAGTTTGGGATTCAATCAAAATCCCCATTTGTTCCATATCTTAATACATACGATCAGAATATCTTATTAACCAACCTAACACAAAGGATATCTATGTTAAATGTGGTTAATTAATTGCTTGTACTAGGATTTCCTTGCATCTTCATTGTCCCTTTCCTCTCAGCATATTTCTATCCCTATAGTCTACATACAAGTTTTTCAAGCTTGCACCAGCATCAGGATTTAACCTCTTGGTGTGCAATCATAATGGTGGCTAAACTTAAACCTTAATGAAGAAAGAGAATGTAACCAAGAAAAAGGGTTAGTTCCAACTTCAAACAACACCGGTTCTATCCTTTCAACATGGTCATTAAATTTATCTATCGAATTCAAACAATCAGTATTTTCTTCTAAATTTATTTAAACTATAGCACATAGAAGTTAGTATTTCAACTGACAATTCAAATCAAATATCAAAGGGATCCAATTTAATGAAAACCATAATTACATTGTACACTAATCCACAACCAGTATGGCAACAAATAATTTGGATTGTCCTAAAAAGTTTGAAAATCATAAATTCAGATATTGAAAAAGAAAACTACGCACTAATCCGGATACTAAAAAGGAAACCAAAGAGTAGAAAACAGTCAATGCAATAACATACCTTCTGCCAATCCCCTGGCTCCATCTTCTCCGAGGAAACCCTGACCATTTGAAGCTCAAATGAAGGGTACCCACTCTCTTTACAAATCTTTGAAGGATCCGACGAGTATCTCTTATAGGTCGTTGAGAGCCTCCTCGACCCATTTCTCCCCACCTCTTTCAAGAAGAAAACCGCTGGCTTATTGCAAGGGTCAGCATCTATAGGCCTAGTGTTAAAGGTAAAAGGCTCACTTTGATAAGTTCTCCACGTCTTAAAAGTTTGGAAAGGTTTCTCAAGAATATTGGGTAAGACAATAGATGGGTAAATTTGAACAGTATAGCCCCAAGAGACTGAGACTGACCATTTGAGTTCAGGTTCATAGCATAAGGTTTGTTGAAGGATTCGACCTGGGTCGGTTTTAGAGGCTTGGATTAGGGTCTGAAGAGAGGCTAGTTGGGTTTGACCAGGGAATATGGAGCTTACATAGTCGAGGTGGTGTAATGAGACAAGTGGTGCGACTGGGTGAGCAGCGAGAAGACCGTAGGGCTCACCACGAATATCCACCTGCAATATTTGAGATCCAAATTTCAGGTGCACAATGTCCATCAACAAATTTCAGGCGCACTAAGGCAATATTACCCATTTCTTTTGTGCAGCAGAGTACTATACAGAAGTGGTGCATGGTGAGACCACAAGCAGCCATGTCTGTTCAGATCAACAATACTTATTGATGATGGATATACCTCAATGTCATTGTACTAAATTATTGGTGTATGCATTATTAAAAAATTGCAGAACCGACCCAAGGTCACCCAAGTTTGCATGGAATAAGTGGGCAGGCTATTCTGGTTTGAGGAACCTTGCCCCAACTCTTGAAATAAGCTTGGAATTGCCCTACTCCCCCTTCTCTTGAAATTTTTAATTTATTTCTATTTCACTCCAACTCGTGAATTGCCCGAGTCAGATCAGTGGGCTAATAATTGGCTCCCTTGCGATTCAGGGTCGAATTCCAAACTTTAAGACCCTGTTCTAATAGTATAAACCATGTGGAGATTAGATGCAGTTGCTAATGGAAAAACCACCATAGTGCTCAAACATAGAAATCACTGATGTTACTTTTTTGCTTTTTCTCGCCAACAGACCACGCTCCAGAGTAATCCACTCCCGTGGGCAAAACCCATTATAGGAATATTGTTAGGACACCAAACTTTGGGGATATGACCTCTTTAACCCCACCATCAAACTCAAGGCCAAACAGGGAAAAAAAATACGAAAAGAACTCTGAATTGGGCAGGAAAAAGACATCTGAAGATTGAGCAAAGACCATCAATTTTTGGATAGTTCCATTTTTTTTTACGTTTTTTTCTAACCGGTGATTCTTAGGTGGATCCCAAAATTTGAGAACTAAAAGGTCTTTCACCTAGGAGGAGGAAGTGTGACCCACCATATGGGATTGAAAAGATCTTTTGAGAGCACATGAGGGAGCAAATGTGTCCCACTATTTGAGATTGATATCTTCGCTTTGAGGAGCAAGTGTGGCTTGTGGTACCCAAAATTTGAGATGTAAAAAGTCTTTCGCTTGAGGGACTAAGTGTATTGTGTGCTCCCCTAGGACCATGACAGACATGCCCTACAGTAAATACAAAGTTACCGCGAACAAAAAATTTACTAAAGATTCAAATTTTTTGACAAATTGGATAGAAATTCTCTCACAAACTAAAACGCTCTATATATATATATATATATATATATATATATATAAATAAAAAAAATAAAAGCACTTTCAGAATTTCAGCCATTTGTGCCAAAAGTTGCGCTTGAGCGCTAAAAAAATGAAATGGATGATAAACTCAAATTCAAATGAGATTTCGGAGAAATTCAAATCCCAAACACGAATATTCAAACATATGAACCACTCCAGCATCGATCGCGATCCACACGACCACTGACAAAGCAAGACCGTGTCAGTTTGAATCAGGACCGTCCATCCAGAGAGGACTGCAAAACAAGAAAAACTTTTAAGATGGTGGCCCCCACCACCAGATACGCGGATCCACGTGTCCACTAACATCGTGCGGCGCACGAAATTCCAGGAGAGAAGATTTCGTTGGGGAGAAAATGGGAAGAAATACAAGCCCAAGATCCTCTTTCAAAAGAAAGAAAAATATGAGATTTCCACGTCGTTTCGATCTAGCACATTCCACACCATTTATCTTTTTGTGGATGTGGATTTTTTTTTTTTTGTTCTTTTCTTTTTTATTTTTTTTTATTTAGTAAGTTAACTGCCATGAACTGCAAAGGAAAAGAAAATCCAACCCTTTGTTCAAGTGACGAAATGGGGGACAACAAACAAGGGAAACGCGCTCGGTGATTAATAAACCGGACTGGAAATTGTAACCTACAGTTTAAGTGGGACCTGAGCCGCAGGGTCGGTCTTTGAAGATAGGGAGTAGAGGCAGGAGGATCCCGATGTTTCCTTTGGATCAAAGAAAGACTGGCGAAATCAAATCTACAATGGTATTGCAAGAAGTTTAGTACAAATAGGAAAGGGGGGGCGATGTTTTAGAATTTAGATCAGGGGTAGATTGTTCGGTTATAAATTTGTGTGAGATGGCTAGATCGGTGTCATATTAGGGTTTGGATCGATGTGAGTCCAGTAATTGAAAAATATTTAAAAATAAATAAAACAATATAAAATAAAATAAGACTTTATAAAGCAGGAATTGAATGGGACTTAAAAAATAAATATTAAATAAACTTAAGACAAAAAATAATAATTATAAGAAGAGTGGTTTTAAGGGAACCGGGCCCATCTCAAAATAGATTCGATCGCAGAGTTCCAAACAACCCCACCCACAACGAAACGAAAAGGGGGTTCATGAGTGAGAGGACCCGGGCCTGCACCCTCCACATATGCGGAAAGAAAACAACGCTATCCTTCACAAAGGGTACGTGTACTCATTAAAACAAGTGAATCCAAATGCCACCTCAAAAACGGGATGCTAAAGATGCCATTTGTCACACTTGTACATATTATTATATCAAATTAAACAGAAAAGATGCCTATGGTTAAATCCATGCCTAAACAAAGTTTTCATTAAAAACCAGAACACCGGCAAAAAAAATCAAAACACCAGGACAAGGGGAAAAAATTAACGAGTCCCCAATGTTTAAGTTTACATTATAATAAGTTTACATTATAAAACTACGAAATCGAAGAAAAAAAAAAATCATCCATCATCTTGAGATAGGTTATATGAATCAAACCAGATCGGCTGCTGTATCATCATAAGTCCAATTCATTTCAAAAATTTACATTATTGAAAGGGCAAAACATGATGGGACGAAAACGACAGGAGGAAACCAATTGCAAATGTTTAAGATGACGAGAAAACATGGGGAACGTGACATTCCCTACAAAGCTACACCCACCTCTTTATTAAAATCCGAGAAGATCGATATCATCCAACCTTTCAAATTTCAAAAAAAAAAGTTTGAGGAAAAGTGGATGACATTTCATAGTTAAGGCTCTTTGCATGCCCTCAATATTTAATCGAAGGCGATAAATTCAGCTGAAAATTTTGGGCGGAGATTTAAACCGACACACGAAACCTACAAATTACCTAACGCAAAGAACCTAAACTTCTCCAAAATTTCGGTTCCCTCGTAGTCAAACTGGATGCCGAAACTTCCCGAATATCAGTTCCTAGCTATTAAAGCTACAGAATAACCTCCTTGTAAAATATTTACACAAAGTTTAACTACAAATTGTAATAACCTTAAAGGAACCATTTTTTTAGTAAATAAAAACCCAGAGTAAAAACAGAATGTAGAGAGAGAGAGAGAGAGAGAAACCCATATAGTAGGAAAAAAATTAATCAGGAGAGAGCAGCGAGAAATTGAATGAGAGAGAGAGAGAGAGAGAAACCCATATAGTGGAAAAAAATTAATCAGGAGAGAGCAGCGAGAAATTGAATGAGAGAGAGAGAGAGAGCGCAATACCCACGAAAACGAGAAAAGCAGAGGATATAGAGAGAAACGTAGCAAGTTTAGAGAGGGAAAGAAAGATGGATAGAGAGAGAAACACAGCAAGTTTAGAGAGGGAAAAAAAGAGGCATACCTGGTGGAAACCAGGCTCGCGAGTAAGCGGCACCCCCATCTCGCTCATGCAGGCCCTAATCCTCTCATCGCTGCCATAGAAGAAGTTGTATCTCTCGATACACCGGTCCAGTATGGTGACTAAAGCAGCTGCCAAAGGGTAACTAATCGCGAATCCACCCCCGCCGAACGCCATACCGTACGAGTGTATGATATCCTGCTCCACACTCTCTGAATTCCCCCCAATATAATACATCTCCTCGTGATTATATTTCCCCAAAACCTCCGCCAAATTCTCAGTGAAAAAGACGGTGTCGTCGTCGCCCATAACAAACCACCTAATTCCATCGAGCCCCAGAGCGAAGCTCTCTAAAACTATTCGTGCTATTCTAATGGCCGATCTCGAACCCCATGCGTTTGTGTACGGGAACTTTGATGTATCACCGGAAATTTTGAATTTCGGCAAAGTTTTCGGCCAGATTTCATTTTCCTCTGGTTTTTCGTCGAGCCATACAAAGCCTCTGGTTTTTCCGGGTTCCCACCAAAGTTCTGTGTATCCTTGCCTCTTCTGCCATGTCTTTGCAGAACCTCCAATACCAAAGAGGAGATGAGAAAAATTAGTCTTTATGTTTTTCTCTGTAACAATACCTGGAGAGAGAACAGGGGGATCAGGGTTAGGGTTAGGGTTAGGGTAGGGAACAGGGGGATCAGGGTAAGGGCTTGGGCTAGGGTTTGGGGCACCGGAGTTGTGGCTGGAGAGCTCCCCAGAAAAGTTGAGTATGATAGTTTTCCGGCCAATATAGGAGGGTAGGAGACGAGGAGAACATTGAGAAGGGTTTTTGAGGCAGGATTGATTGAAAAAGGCGAGGTAAAATACAGAACAGAAGGAAATGAGGAGGACAAAACCGACCGTTCTTTTGAACCCTTTCCACCATAGCTCGCGGCAATTTTCCACTGGATAAACACCGGATTTGCACCGGAAAAACCAGAGGTCCTTCTCGCTCCCCATAGAGAGAGAAAGATGAGCAGGAGAAGAGACAGTAACAATGAAGTTCACGCCGTTTATAGTAAATAAATCGTTGTTTTCCAAAAGCGAAAAGAGGCTTGAATTGCACAGCGTTAGTTTTGAGGATTACAATACGCCATTAAAGGATCACTCCAGTTATAAAGGAGTCTATGAGTCACCTCCTCTGTATCTAATAAAATATGCAGAGCTCTTGGTTATTTCTGTGCAAAAATAGATGAGTACGAGCAAGCTTTCATAGGGCTTTGAAGGGGGCATTAAACCCTAAAGAAGTCCTTCCACTGAAGGACTAAATCTAATTAATTCCAGACACCCAGCAGCCCTGGCTGCTCTGAATCCCTAATCTGCCATACAGAAACCCTAATCCGCCGTGAAAGCTCCTTATGCTTCCTTTCCACCTGCAAAATTCGGCTTTTTTCTCTCTGACCTCGTGTCCGAACACTAGACAGAAGAAAATGCCTCTTCAGAGGTTATCAATTCGCCATCAATGGGAAAAAACCAAAAAAGCAAACCACAGAGGTTCTTGTGATTCATTCCCAAACCAGTTCGAATCTCCGGTATTGCGATGCCGCAAAACGGGAGATGTAGGCGTAAAACGATGGCTTTCCCGCCGGAAAACGGGGCAGAGCGTTTCAAAAAAACTGTCTCCGGCTGATTGAAACGTGGTGGATATTCAGTATATAAAAGAGATGTCGACGCACAGCTGGCGGTCGATAATGACGTGGCGTGTTTTTATTGGAAGAGTAACGCGAAGCCCGGTCAACCGGTGATATTGAAGGGAGGGGTTTTGTTTTCCAGTTAAAATTGGAGGAAACTCCGCCAATTAACCGATAAAAGTTAAAATTTATGCATAGGGCATACCTCTTAGGAAGGGTCTCTTTGTCTTTTTATTTGGCTATTGCGGAATATTTTGGTCATTTTTTAATCTTCTTATCAACCGGCCTTGACGCAGCGGTTTTTTTCAAGAGATTGACGATATTATCCCCCTGCCATTATCTTATATGCTTAAATTGCCCTCAAAATTTTCTAATTAAGAAATCATTTTTACAAATAATTATGGTCGGTAAGTTATAGGTACCTGAATTGGGAAGTGTATTGAAGAAAGTTACCCCGAATTCACCCGACTTTTCTTAAAAAAGTGTTCTCTTAAAATGGAAGGCTGAGTGTGTGTGACTCATTAGGCTTAAGAGTTTATAGAAAATTATTTGGAACTCCGTCACTTATTTTAAGCTGTCCGATTTGACATTCAGTGGTTAGCATTAGTTTTGACTTTCTTTTTTAAGGTGTTCGGTTTGTATAGAGGCTAGCCTCTGAACAATCAAATTAGAGCTTTCCTTCAAATGGTTTCGAAAAATGTAGTTTTGATATTTAAAATTTTTGCGATAGCTTTAAAATATATTTTAATCTTTATTTATAAATTTTAAAGCTTATAAAATAGTGTAGATCAATAGATCCATGAAAATCTAGAAAATTGATCGTCAAAAAATGTGTTATAAAATACACTATTTTCAAAACTTGAAATCTTTTTTTTTTTTTAATATCTATGCATCTTGATGCCGAGATTATTAATTTGAGGATGTTTAGGTATCAAAACAACCTCTTCTATTGGAATTTTTGAAGCAGGCTCAAATTTGATTGTTTAGTGTCTCGGTTCTATATAATTTTTCCTATAGTAAACAATCCCTTTTTTTTTTGGGTGTAGTTTTGCATAATTTTGTTTGCATTAAAAATATATTTTTATATCAATAGTTTTAAGTTTTGAGGCCGATATTTACCCTTTATGGGGTTGGCGCATGGGTGGTTTAGGCCCTTCACTTCTATTATTAACATATCAAGAAAAAAAAAAAAGATCGGACATCCATCAAAATGGACGGACTATGTTTGTAACAATCCTAAACTTTTGAAAAAAAAAAAAAAAAAAAAAGAAAGAAGAAGAAGAAGAAAATAAACTTTTAATACATGATGATTCGTTTGAACATGATGGTCCTTAAGGACCATCTCTACTTTCCAAAGCTTTTCGTTTAAAAGCTTCTTTGCGCTTGCCACGTCCACTAAAGGACATGGGCTTTAGTCGTTTAAAGCTTAACCTAACGCTTACACCTGTAACGTAATAAAAGAATAAAATAATATATTAGTAGAATTTAAATTCAGAGAGATGAAGACTCCTACCTTAGAAAACTTATGAGATTTTTCTCTCTGGTCGAAACACAGTGAACTCCTCTCTCTAGCCGAATTTTTATCGGAAGCTCCTTCTCAAGTATTTGTAGGTAAGTGACATCGTCTTCTTGAAAAATAGTCTATTTTTAATAAATAGTGATATTTCGGTCCAGGATCTTTATTTTATAAGTTTTGCGTGTAAGTGACATCGTCTTCCTGAAAAATAGTCTATTTTTAATAAATAGTGATATTTCCGTCCAGGATCTTTATTTTATAAGTTTTGTGTGTAAGTGACATCGTCTTCCTGAAAAATAGTCTATTTTTAATAAATAGTGATATTTCCGTCCAGGATCTTTATTTTATAAGTTTTGTTTGTAAGTGACATCGTCTTTCTGAAAAATAGTCTATTTTTAATAAATAGTGATATTTCCGTCTAGGATCTTTATTTTATAAGTTTTGTGTGTAAGTGACATCGTCTTCCTGAAAAATAGTCTATTTTTAATAAATAGTGATATTTTCGTCCAGGATCTTTATTTTATAAGTTTTGTGTGTAAGTGACATCGTCTTCCTGAAAAATAGTCTATTTTTAATAAATAGTGATATTTCCATCCAGGATCTTTATTTTATAAGTTTTGTGTGTAAGTGACATCGTCTTCCTGAAAAATAGTCTATTTTTAATAAATAGTGATATTTCCGTCCAGGATCTTTATTTTATAAGTTTTGTGTGTAAGTGACATCGTCTTCCTGAAAAATAGTCTATTTCTAATAAATAGTGATATTTTCGTCTAGGATCTTTATTTTATCAGTTTTATGTGTAAGTGACCTCATTGTTTCGAAAAATAATTCATTCTTTTTAAAAAATAAAATGAAATAATTATTTCTGCTTATTATCATGAATTTTAGGCGCGATAAATTTTATGCGCACGTGACCTCATTATCTTGAAAAATAATCTTTTTGATAAAAATTGTGATATTTTATCTATGTTAGAAATTTTGAATGTTGTACATTAGAAAAATAAATTTATTTATTTTTCTTGTTT